GAAACCACCTCAAGTACATTCGCACTCACTTTGCAGGGCAAAGGTTGGTGAAGTTCGCTTTGCTGTATTTCGCTGTACTGCGATGATGACGATGAATTGCTTCAATGTTGGATTTACGCCTCAACGTCTTTTCTGAATGTTTCGGTCACAGCCGTCAAAATGCTATTCATCCTTGTAGAATTTTGCAAAATATGCGAAAACAGTTTTACAATTCGAGCGACAATAACCACTTCTGAAAGTCCCGTTGATATTGCTATCACATTAAAAAGATGTGCTTGTCTTTAGATCGAATCTAAAACGGCAGTAGACCATGCTTTTAGTTGTGCGGCGGAGTCTCACGAGGTTCACCATTCCAAATATCACAGCTAATGTCTGCTATCTTGATAAAACAGTTCCTTTTGCCACCTTTTTTTATCTCTTCTGACATTATTCACAATTCGTGTTTCTTTAAAAGACAGTGAAACATAGCAGTTCATTTTCGGCGTTCTCTGGCTGCATCATCCGCGAGCTGAACAATAAATTCTACAACAACTTCTCCTGAGTATTTTAATGTATGTTCTCAGTGGTTTGTTTAAACATAGGCTTAACGACCGGATGAATGAGGTAGGCGCAAGTGAGGTGTTGTATTCCCACTGAGGTGTACGAACTGAAATTCCCAGTTACCGGCCCCTTTTATAAACCCTGGAGCACCAGTCACTAGCTCTCATAGAATAATATCCCGCCCTAGCGCCCTTTCTGGTAAAGGCTTGGAATGGGGGTCCCTTAGGACAACTACCCTGACCTCTACAATCGGATGGTAAATCTACCGCGGTGTCCTGCTCATAGAAAACCCGAAAGACATTGCGAATGCCATTTTGTACCACGCTCTCGCCTATCTTCATGGATTTTGTCTCTACAATAAGCTCTGATCATGCTACGGTGTCCCCGATAAGCGACACTCATCGTGCTCCCCAGTGGCCTGAGTGATCCAGACATGAACTGGGAGTCTGTGCACTAGGTCAC